AGCTTTGTGTCTCTTCAGGTGTTCCCCCCTCCACTGGAGAGCCGGCTTTTGGGGTGGGGGGGAGAGAGGGCGGGGGTGTCTCTCTCCGTGCCACGCTTGGCTCCCTCCGCTGCAAATATTTCTTGGCATTAGCAGATTTATTGGAGTTTATGTTGGGTTGTGTGGTTTTTTGGAGAGAGAGATCAGTGGGTCGTATTGTGCTGATGGCAAGAGAGCGGGGTGGGGGGTGCGCACACAGAGGATAAATCACCCGAACAGGGTCGCCGTCGGAAAGGGGGGGCAACCCAGATTTCCTCTGCCTTGCAACCCCTCCCCACACCAACGGAGAAGGAGCCCAGAAGGAAAGGCTGTGGGTTGGTTATGGGTCCAGCAGGAGACGGAGCCCTTTCAAACCTCATCTGGAAAGAGAGAAAGGACCCTTGGTTGTGTTGCGAGTCTGTGTGTGGGGGGGGTGGGGGTGTACAGCACCATGTTTCTGATTTCCCCCACCCATTCACAAAATGGCCCGGGGTGGGATTTTACTGAATTTTGAAATTGGGGGAACAAAGCTAAGAACAGCTCAGCGGTTATTGCTAAAACAGGTCACGAAATGGAGCTCAGCCTCTGTGAACAAAGACTGAATTTAGAATATTTCCAGCTGCCTGTTAATCTAGAATGAATGGATTCCAGCTTCCCTCTTTCTTTCTTTCTTTCTTTCTTTCGTTCTTCCTTCCTTCGTTCCTTCCTTCCTTCCTTCCTTCCTTCCTTCCTTCCTTCCTTCCTTCCTTCCTTCCTTCCTTCCTTCCTTCCTTCCTTCCTTCCTTCCTTCCTTCCTTCCTTCCTTCCTTCCTTCCTTCCTTCCTTCCTTCCTTCCTTCCTTCCTTCCTTCCTTCCTTCCTTCCTTCCTTCCTTCCTTCCTTCCTTCCTTCCTTCCTTCCTTCCTTCCTTCCTTCCTTCCTTCCTTCCTTCCTTCCTTCCTTCCTTCCTTCCTTCCTTCCTTCCTTCCTTCCTTCCTCCCTTCCTTTCTTTTTCTCCCTCCCTTCCTTTTTCTTTTTCTCTCCTTCCTTCCTTCCCTCCCTCCTGCCTTCCTTTTTTTATTTCTTTCTTCCCCCCCCCCACAAGGCTAGAGATCAGCTTTCCAAGCTAATTCCATCCCTTCTTTACCACCACAAATATATGTCAGTCACACCACTCTTCAGAATTAAGGCAGAATAGTCGAAACTTCACCTTTCTACTTACTCTTTTGGTACCGACACTTTCTTCCACCCTTTAGGCTCCCAAATGGGATTTAACCCAAATCACAGATGTGAAAATAATGTTGATACTTGTTCCATCCATGCAACGAAATCCCATGTAAAAAAAAAACAAACCCCACACCCATCTACTAATATTATTCTGGCAGAGCAATAAGAAGTGACTATAGCAAAATACTGTACTGTACTGTGGAGAACAGCCTATGAGATCCTATATCTCTCCGAAGAGGGGAAATGAATGAAGCTGTCACGCAGAAACAAAAGGTAGGAGAAAAAGAGGCCAAAAACTGATTTACAAGGTATTGAATTAGAGAAAGAGAAAATGTAGGAAAGGAAAAATCCCTTTCGTTATTAAATGGGTATTCAAATCCATATTAATTGTGAAGTTTAAAATGGTACCCCTCTCCATCCTCTTTCCTTTTCCCACATTAATCATGCATTAATTGCCTATGAAGGTTAATGGTCCTTAGCATCTCCGTACCGTAAGAAATCGCCGACAGGGGTACCTGTTGTTTGTTGTCCCCAAGAGAATACTGTAATTTATAACAGTCTTATTGCATCCATGTTTTATTTAAAGAATCCAGGCACTGCCATCAAATCTTCTTCTCTTCCCTGACAGTGATGACCTGGCTGGCTGGCTTGCCTTTAGGAAAACTGCAAAAAGCAGGCTGGGTTTGATCCGATGAGCAGCAAAAATGCAATTTGTAACTAGAGAGTAAAAATTAAAATAAAAAAGAGGGGGAATTTTAACCTGGGCTTCAGGATGTTTTCTTGCAGGGGGTTGGCACAAGTGTAGGGGTGATTGTGTGGGTCTCAAAACAGCAGCATCTGCCTCTTGATTTCTGTGGGTGTCGACGCAGGGACGGCGTTCCCACCACCGCACCTGCCCCGCCCACCCGCTGCTTTTCATATTAACTGGATTCCACTGAATTCTCAAAATATTAATCCTCTTTCCTGCCATACGGTGGTCAGTTGAACTGAAATGGGATTTTGCTGTAATGCTGATGGAGAAAGCCACTTGGCCTGGCATTTTTTTTCCCTTTCTGGGGGCTTTGCATCTCCTCTATGGGTGGGGAAGGAAGGAAGGAAGGAAGGAAGGAAGGAAGGAAGGAAGGAAGGAAGGAAGGAAGGAGCTGATGATGGGTGGAAGGAAGGAACAAACAAAGGAACAAAGGAAAGAAAGAAAGAAAGAAAGAAAGAAAGAAAGAAAGAAAGAAAGAAAGAAAGAAAGAAAGAAAGAAAGAAAGAAACCCAAGCCTTCATGATAGAACAAAATCTTACCTTTAGGTCACAACATTTTGGTTCTTTTTAGTTTAGGCAGGAGGAGAGGAAAAAACACGTAGAATCCTCCCTGCTCCCTGACACCTTTTCAGCCTCTGTGCTGCAGTTTCTGCCGTCCGGGCTTGATGGAACTGTCATTCTGGAAAGTGTCACTTTGGAATTTTGTTTCCTTAAAATGCACCTGGCATGGAGATAGAAATAGGTTCCCCTCTTCTGCCCTGCTCAAAATACTTAAAATGGGCATCAGCTGAGGTCCTCAAAAATGCTTCACTGCCAACACATAGGTTCTCTACCATAAGATGACAGAAAGAATAAAGCAAAATTTGTGCATATGTGTGTGCCTGCGCGTGCGCACACAGGATAATTTGAACCTCCATGTTCAGGAGCAGGATACCTCAGAAAACAATACATTGGGAGAATAGACCAAGAAAACAGGGTGATGACAGGACTTGTGGATCCCCTGATGTTTGTGGACTACAACTCCCATCATTCCTAAACCTAACCTAATGCTGAATGGGGCTGACAAGTCCTGGAGAACAACAGAGACATTCCAGCAAATATCGAGGTCCTGCACCATTGAAGGCTTTGGCGGTGAGGATGAACACCATGAATTGGGCATGGAAACTAACAGGGAGCCAAGGAAGGCGTGCCAAGACTGGGGAGACGTATTCCTATCTGCTGGTTCCTGTAAACAGTCTGGCTCCTGCATTTTGGACCTGCTGATGTTTCTGTACTGACTTCAAGGGCCGCCCTATGTTGAGAGCATTTGCAGTAGTCTGTTTTAGAGATTACCAACACATGAAAGCGAGCGGGGAAGATCTGCTTCCCTCTAAGTGGGGGAAGTTTATCCAGGTAGGGACCACTGACTATCACTTAAAAATTCAAACTCAATCGGGAATTGTGAATTTCAAAAATGGTGAGGCTTTGTGTGTGTTTGCGGTTCCCATGGTCTGTTCCCCACTATCTCAACTCTTTCTGGAGAGCAGCAGAGAGAGAGCGGGGTAGTGATGTCTTCAGATCCAGTTTTATATATTTGTTTTAAGTACACAGTTAGTGAATTACATCTCTGCCTAACTGTTGTTCACCGAAAGGGGCTGGCACCAGGTGGCAGAAATCCTGTAACTTAACATAGCACGTTACACTAGAGCAGGCCCTTTGGGTGACTGGGGATTTGGTAAGTCGACTCCTCCGTAAGTTCCATTGATTCCAATGGCCCTACCTGAGTTGCCACATACTACGCCAAATCACAGGATGTCGGCCAATATGGTCATGGCTGGTTTTAGTTTGGTGTGAATTGCTCGATCTTGTTAAACAGTTTGTCAGTGTTTTGTCGAATTCGAATGGGCTTAGATTCTTTCAAGGTGATTTTATTGATAAAAACCCCACCCTGAGATCCGTCGGTACGGGGAAAGGGTGCAATCAGACAGCTGCAAAAGCCGATGGCACCAGAAAGACTCATTTTACCGGTAGCAAATCTCCTTTCAAGTAACCCTTCCATCTGCCAGGGAATTACTCCAGCCCTGTCGTTTGTGGTCGTAGACAAACGATGGATCAGGTTAGGGCCGGAGGGCATTTCATTATTATTATTATTATTATTTATTGAATTTATATCCCGCCTATCTGGACTATAAGTCATAGACAAACGATGGATCAGGTTAGGGCTCAAGGGCATTTCCTCCCTGCATCATGTGATTGCCGGAAAT